CTTCCTACGTCTTGAAGACTCCACCGTGTGCCTGATGATACATTACATAGCATTAGACCCAATCAAATTCATAATTAATGCAGTAGTAAAATAGTAATTATGTGTAGCTTTAGAAATGTACCTGACTTGAGTCAGTTGAGACTCAATCTCCTTATCACCCTTCTCCCACACCATATCGAGCGAACCGATCGATGTGTTAAGCCATTGCTTCAACGCAGCTTAGGCACTCTCCACCCTACATGAAGTTGTATTACCAAAACGCGTTACCGAATTCGTCCACTATTTGACAAACTTCTTCTTGTGGACTAACCATGTGTTCTCCACATATTATAAAACTGTTTTAAAATTTGCGTACCGACAATACATGTCACATACTACCTTGTGGTAATGATCCACCATACCCGTTTCGACAACTTCTTCCAACTGTCGGGCGCGAACTTCTAAGCGATGTCCTTATTTTTTCCTAGAAGTCGATAAACTCTTTCTTTCACATCCTTGTTGATGTGCCAAGTGAAAAGTAAGTGGTAAGATTCTAGAAAGTTCCTCCGAATATGATTCATTATACCTAACTCCCTGTTAGTGATGATGACATTAGAATGTACATCAGACTCTATCAGATGTCTCACTGTAGAACCTAGTCATAGCTATACTCGCTCTAGTCCTTGGTAATTTCATATGTAATTAAGAAGTTCTTATCGCACGATGTCATGCCAACAGTTTCCGCCAACATCATCTGGTACCTGTGCAAATGAGAGAAAACAAGAGAAAACATAGAATAAAAAAAAAAAATTACTCAAACATACTAATTAAGATTCATACTAATATGTTATTTATAAAGTAACATACATGTTGTTTGTACGTCGAATCTATATCTCTGTACCAGTAATATGTCCAGAATAGACTAACAACATGACGATGTGACGTGAAGAGATGTGTCAACGCCTGTGTGTTCACATCAACTTTTGTATAAACTATACAATTGCTCTCTGTAGCCAAATGCATAATCGGGGTGGGCACATCTCTACCATCCAAACTAACTCTCCGCAATTGTACTCTATAGTTATACACATGTCGCCAAGCGCTGTCTACCGATTTTTCTCCTGAATCGCAGCCAAAATTACTTCCAGTTTTGCCTGGGAATCAGTCATGTCACAGAAAATATCTTTAGATGAAACGCTAAGTCCGCTCATCAGTCGATAACCCTCAAGATACATTGCCAATGCATGATTATACATTCCCTTATTACCACACGACTTACACGGATCATCCAAGGTGTAGATCATGCCACTTGTTTGACTATTACCTGAAAAGGGCATTTGCACGCTTTAGTTTTTGAACATCTGGCAGCAGTCTGATCTAAATTTCCAAAACTACCTCTGTAACGTTCCCCTCGCGAACACCTCAAAATCTCCAGCCTTCCTTCTTTTTTGTAAGAAGAAATGACCAATTCAAAACCATATATAATTGTCATTTCTTTTTCCATGTAATAGCTTCGTCATCACTACCAAATAGTTCATGTAAGAAAGCAACACTGTAATCAACAATGTCTTCTCCAAAATCTTCGAATGCCACCTATAATATTTTACAATGTTGATAATTTTACAAGATAATTAATTCTATATAATAACATAAATATTTCTAAGTTCTAATTCTAATTCGTAAGAGAATCAATTCTAACTTAAGCCATAATAAAATCTAATTTATATGACAATCAATTCTAACTTATAACATAATAATTTCAAAGTTCTAACATAATGGTAATAAGTTCTAATTTATTAGATAATAAGTTCTTGTACGTCAAAACCTCCGACCTCGGTTGATCGAAATCCTTCTCGCCGGTAGAACACCTTGTACCTACAAAAACATTCACACCGGAGGAGGCCTCCGATGAAGAGCCTCCAATGCTTAAATTAGTATGTGTAGAAGATGAACTCTCAAGAGTATAATGAACGTAATAGATGAAATCACATATCTCTCCTCTATATATAGGGGTGAGGTACCTGCTTCTAGAAGGCTGCCCGGATGAACTGAGCTGGCTGCACAAGCTTCCCGACCGTACAACACACACTGAGGGTGTGTCAGAGACAGTTGTAAGATGTAGAACAATCAGGTCATGCCACGTGTCCATACCGCGTAGGGATTTGATTCCCCTGAGATCTCCTCGAAGGCTCGACCAATTCTAGGAGAATTTAAGGTGAAGCACTGACTGCACCAAGTCTCAGTCGTTGTCGTTCAGACGACCATCTGTTGCTGTTGGTCGAGTTTCGACCAAGCTATCCAAGAGCTCTGGCTCGACCTATTCTCCACATACCAAAATCCCCTTTTAGTTGTCTTCCAGTTCAGAGGCTCTTGATCCTGTGACGTTCGACCACGACCACCACGTTTGGATTCCATTCGACCAGGTGGTTTGTTTGGCTTACTTAACTTGCTTACTCCTCTAGGTATAGTATCCCATATCAAGTTCTAACTTATAATATAATTTCTGAATTCTAACATAATAATAATACATTCTAATTTATAAGATAATCAAATTCTAATTTATGACATAATAATTTCTAAGTTCAACATAACATTAATAAATTCTAATTTATAAGACAATCAATTCTAACTTATAACATAATAATTTCTAAATTCTAACATAGTAGCAATAAAGTATACTTTATAAGATAACCAATTCTAACGTATAGCATAATAATTTTTTAGTTTACCATAATAATAATAGATTCTAGTTTACAAGAGAACAATTCTAGTTTATAACATAATAATTTATAAGTTCTAACAGAATAGTAATGAATTATAATTCATAAGATAATCAATTCTAATTTATAACATAGTAATTTCTACTAATATATTTTTATAAATAAAATTAACTAGTTTAAAAAAATGGCCGGTCGGTCGGAGAAATCGGCCAGAGCCCCCGACCAATCGACGATTGCGGTCAGACATGGTCTCAGTCGCCGACAAGGTAGGCCGAGCAAGGTCATGGACGGCCGCATATTGCGACCTCCAATGGCATGGTTTACTCACTGGTCGGCCACGACGAGTGCAGCCAGCTTCACCGGTTGGCCGGCGACGGACTAGCCAGTTTTGTCGGTCGATCGGCCAAAAAACTCACCTTGTGGTCAGCAATTTTCTCGCCATAATTTGCCTTGTATAGAAAATTTTACAATTTTATGAGATTTTGGAAAAAATGACCGAGACAAAATAGTTCATAAGACCGGTACGTAATAATAGTAGGGCGGTGAAGTAATAATCATGTAATACCCATTGTAAAAGCAAAAAGATAATTATAACAAATAGAATTTCCAAATATAAATAAATAAAGAGAAAACACAGCTGGACTGGACTGCTGGAGTGAGCAAGAAGTATTGAAGCAGGCCAAGTCCAGTTGCACTATGGTGTGCCTTGGCACACCATGCTAGGTGTGCCAGGCTTGATTCACACGCGCCAAACAAGTAAGAGAAAAGTGTTGGAGTTGGTTTTTTTTTTACGTGGTGTCACGCGCCCTGTGATGTCAAATCACACCTTTTAACATTTATTTTTTT